GCCGATGAGAGGAAGAAGAGGAGGAGGAGGAGAGGAGTACAAAACACTCGTACTTGGTCCATCAGCATTGCCATCACAGGGGCGCTGGGAGGAGGCAACTCAAGGCTGATAGAACAGGGCTGAGGGTGACACTTCCACCGCCCCACTGTCCTGCCCGCCTGGCCCTGGCCCCCATGGCCCCTCCTGGGCTGCAGTCCCCCCCAGGCGTTTCCCTGCCTGTGCCAGGGAGGGGGTGCTGCCGGGCAGGCTGCTGGTGGGTGCCGTGTGCGGGGCCCGTGTGGGATGGAGAGCGGTGGCAGGTCCCATGGTGACCGTGTGTGCCGGGTGGCCCCTGGCCCACTGTGGGACTGCGAGGGAGCTGTGGGTCAGGAGGCCCCTCTGGCATTGAGGGAATGTGGGCCAAATCCTGTATCACATGGCTGATGTCCTGCTCCACTGCAGGGGGAGACCGGCTCCGGCACCTCGGCCTGCCTCGGTGGGACTTTGGGCTCAAACTCGGCTGCTCCCAGGGGCACAGGCGGCAGCAGGACACTGTACCTTCAGCGGTACAGTACTCTGTACCATGCCGTGCTGGTCCCCAGGGCAAGGGGGACGGCCACCGAGCAGCTGTGGGGGCAGGCAGTGTGGCACCCCTGGGCTCAGCCATCCCGCGTGCCCCTGGGGCCAGGCTCGCCGTCACCTGTGCAGCTGGGAGGCACCGCCCCAGGTCCCATCCCATCTCTGCAGAGGGTTCCTGCTCGTCGGCTTTCCCCAAAAAGCCCGTCCCAGAGGCTGATGGCAGTGGTGGATTGGGCCCCCCACCTGCCCTCCATCCCTGCCACCTTTGGGCGCCCACCCCACAGGTCCCCGCTCCCTGCACAGCCCTATCCCTTTCAGGTTGAGTTGTCTTGGGGAGGAGGAAGCAGAGGAACCAGGAGAAGGGGAGAAGGAGTTGGAGGAGACGAGCGGGAGAAGAGGAGCGAGAAGGGGCAGCGTTGGGGAGGAAGAGCAGGGCATCCAACTAGCTACAAAAAACCTCGTGGATCGAAAACGGCAGTTTCATACGAGATCGGCTCTTGAACGATATCAAACCAGGTTTGGGAGTGATGCGCAGGGAGGGAGTGGGGGTTTTCGTGACAAAGCTCTCATGAACAGAACAAGACATGTTGCTTTCAAATAAAGGGGGAACTGGAGGAGAGGAGGAGGAAGAGGAGAAGGAGAAGGGAGGAAGGGCGAGTTGGTGGCGGTTTGCAGGTTTGGCGTGGCAAACGGGCAGGGAGATGGGCAAGCAAGGGGCTGGGGGGGACTGGACACGGGGCAGGGGACGGGGTGGTGAAGGTGAGTGGTCTGAGACTGAAAATACTTGCCCTTCATTTTGATGTTTGGTACTGTGTGAATCCACCATAGAGAGAAAGCAAGAAAAACAACAAACAAAAAACAACAAACAAAAAAAAAAGGGGTTGGGTGGAAAGGGGGAAGGGGGGCACAAACAATATTTTATTCAATCGACGTTTGAATAAAAATATTGTGTATTATAATCATACCAAAAGGAAACCTCTTGCAAAAAACGACATGAAGAAAAGAAAACAAAATAAAAACCCAGTAACAAAAGGAAAAGAAAAGGCCACGGTGAAATAAGAACAAAAAAATGCAAAGATATAACTAGAGAAATATATAGATATATATTCAATACTCCAAAGGAAAATGAGAATCAGTAGCAAACAGTTGCAACAGTCTTGATATCAAAATGTCCTCACTGAGTCAGGGTGCATGCACGGCACGGTGGGCAGAGCCGGGGAGGACGGGGAGATCCCCCCTCCCGGGGATGGGGACAGCCTGGACTCGTCCCCACAGGGACACAGGGCTCCTGCCCATGGATGGAGGGGCTGGCAGGGGCTGGATCCAGAGCAGGGCTGGGGTCAGGCCACCGGGGTGGCCGAGGGCGAGAAACGGGGAACCGGAGGGGAGAGGGGAAGGGTCCAGTTCTCCCATGGGGGAGAGGGTCCCTGGGAGCAGCGTGGACCTGAGGTGGGGAAGAGGCTTGGGGGTCAGGGGAAAGAGAAAGAGAGAGAAAGGGGGCCAGGCTAACACACACGTACACAGATTATTTCCAAACAAAAATCGAAACCAACCGAAACTGAACTCATAAAAAGAATAAATGGCTTAAACCGAAATGAAAGTATCGTAATAAACCAAAGGAAATTAAAGAGATCCATGCAAACTTCCCCAGGCTCACAAATTAACTGGCTGCTACAGCGCCATCCCTCGTCCCCAGGAGGCAAACAGGCAGCACCTCCCTGCCTGCGCTGGCAGCGCCTGCCTGCAGCCCCGGGCTGGGGTTTTGGGGTGCAGAGCATAAGGACCAAACCCCGGCCCCCCGGGCACCCCAGGCAGGCAGCTCGCTTTCCCTGTGTGCTCACCTCTACTCATGTCTCTCTTAGCTTTAGTTTTTCTCTTTGTTTTGCCTCTCACAGTGATCCCTATGACTTTTCTCAAGCCTTTGCTTTGTGTTTCTCCCCCCGACAGCCATGGGCTGGCGTGGGGTGAGGGGGAGTGCGAGAGGGCGGCAGGGAGAGCCAGGGGCTACTTACACTTCACTTGCAGGATCTGGTCGCTGAGGTTGGCCTGGATGTAGTAGGTACTGTAAGGAGGCAGAACCAGCCCCAGGCTGTGGAGAGGGAGAGCAGACACCTGGTGTAAGGCTTTACACTCACCCAGGATCCTTGGCCAGCCCCCAGTCTCTGCCTGGCACCTGCTGGCAGCAGCTTGACCCAGGCAATGGCAGGTGGCAGCCCCACTGCCCTCCTGCACAGCCTGCTGCTTCCTTCTCTCCAGGAACTGCAGCCAGCGCTGTCCTAAGGCATCCAGGGTCATCCCCAGAGCACCCAGGGTCATCCTGGGGTATCCAGGGGCATGCCCAGAGCACCCAGCGCTGTCCTGGGGGCACCCATGGCCACAGAAGTTGGCACATCTGCCTATCCAGAGCTGAAACGGGCAAGATGTTCCAGCCCAGGAACCAAGTGAGATGTATTTGGAAGAGGAACATGACATCCCTGTGAGGGAGGAAGGCAGGAAGAGCCCTTGTACAGCCCATGTACTGCCCATGTACAGCCCTTGAAAGAAGGGAGAAAGCCTTCCCAGACTGCAGAAACCAATGACAACCATTATACAGGCCCCAGGGGCCAGGTAAGTCAGGAAGGAGAGTGATCCACCAGCCAGGAATCTGGCATGCAGGGTGTGGGACAGGGATGGGAAAGGAGATAGCAGGAGGTGGTGCTGGGGCTGCTTAACCCACAGGATATGCTGCCAGAAGGAACTGGACTCCTTGGTGCCAGCTGCAGTGGCCACTGGCCTTTGGTGACAGTGTTTGTGCCAGGTGTTGCCAGGCATAAGTAAGGACCACCTTCCTGACTCTCATCCAATGTTACACCTGCACCAGAGCCACTGGGATCTGGGCTTCCTCCCTAAACCACCCTGTCTGTGCTGGCAGCACCAGCATGGGACTGCAGTGGGGACACCTGGCAGTGCTGGATTTCTTGCCAGCCCCTCCTGAGCTGAGTGGTGAGGAGGAGGAGGGCATACTGGGCAACAGGGGCCCACATGGCTCCTGCCAGGATGAAGGCAGTGTGAGTTGAGAAATGACGATGTCAGGGTCATTCTTACACATCTGCTGGTCCAAACTGGTGCAAGCTGGGTGATAAATGCAGAACTTTGCTCTCCTCTGGCTCTAAAGACACTGCCTGTGCTGCAGGGTGGACACATGTTGCTGTCACCCACCCTAGAGCAGGCAGGGACCTGCATGAACTCCTGGCTGGGCAGACAGAGGGTGGCAGGGGTGTCACTTGTCTGGCCCCTTGCACACCAGCCCTGCAACCTGTCTGGAGTCCTGGGGACTGTGTCCAAGCTCTCCAGTGCCTAACACTGTCAGGCAGCCCTTTCAGGAGTGCCCTTCAGCACATCACTGCCTGTGTGCAATCGTGATACTGCATTTGTAACCTCACATCTCGTGGGACACATCCCTGGTGGCCTCAGGGGCTTTGGGAGCTGCAGGCACAAGCCCCCAGCCCTGTGCTGCTGTGGGTCCAGCCAGTGCAGGGCAGTCTGGGTGCACTGGCAGTGACACTCACCTGTAGTTGGTGCTTTTGATGGGAGCCCACGTGTAGGTCCGGAACACCTCGTCGATGTATTGCTGTGGGTCAGAGGGAGCCAGTCAGGCCTGGGTGCTGCCAGGACTCTGCTGGCACGGTGCCACAGGGCCCTGGCTCCCAGCCCAGTGCCAGACACAGCCCCTCATCCCCACTGCTGTGTCTGGATGCTCAGCACAGTGACAGTTTCAGCTGTGACCCCCTTCCCCTGCAGTGTTACCTCATCCAGGGACTTGATGAGGGTCTTGATGAACCTCTGTCCGTCATTCCCATCGATCATGCTTCTCCGGATCTGCGGGACACAGAGGAGGCAACTGAGGGCCACAGAGCTTGGCCATACACTTATGGGCACCCATCCCACTGGGGTGGCACTGGGGACCCATGGGGTGCAGGGTTAGCAGCCTGGGGAGGTTCATCATGCTGGCACCCAGGGGACAATCACCCAGCTCCTGTCCCCACTGAGGCTCCAGGGCCCTGAGGATGAGACTCTCCACAGGGCAGGTTGCAAAGGGCTGAGTGCCCTTTGCAACTGGAGATGAGGGAGCCAGCCTGTGCAGCTGGTCTGCTCACCTCCTCCTTGTTTTCATCCTCCAGCTCAGCATCCAGGAAGTCCAGCGTCACCGGCTCACGGAAATTGATGATCTGAAGGAATAAAGGGAGAGCCAGGGCAGGGCTCAGGGCTCCGGCAGCTGCTGCTGAGTCCAGACTAACTCATCACAAACCCCACAGTTAAGTCCTAAAGGCCCTGGGAAGCCATGTGTCCCTCAGGGCCTGGCTAATCCCCACGGCTGGTGCCCCTTTGGGCCCCTCCTCACCTGGGGCTGCAGGTTGGGGTGCAGCAGGACGTAGCCGTTCAGGTCGATGGCGAAGACGTAGCCGTTGGCCCCCAGCTGCAGGAGAACAGAAGGGGTGAGGCTGACCAGGTGGATCTGTGGCATGACACACTGTGCTGGTGTGATCACCCTCACCTCTGCAGGCAGAGCTTACCCCACATCACCCCTAGGGCTCAGCCCATTCTATCCATCTACTTCTGTTCTCAGGACAATGCGATCTCCCACTCCTGGGCTGAGAATCTGGCTCTGGATTTGTCCCACTGCTCCTTTCCCCAGGCCTGTAAAGTTTATTCCCTGCTGACCCTACAAGGGTTTTGGCTCTGCTCTGGGTCCTGGAGCATCATGCAGCTTTGCTCCCTGCTCTCCTGCCTGTCCCAGTCCCTGCCTGCACCTATAGCTCCTGCTAGGTGCCAGTGCTGCTGGAGGTGCTCTGGAGTGCTGGGACACAGCTTGGGGCTCCCACCAGAGGGGTTCCACACCAGCATCAGGCAGTGCAGGGCAGGGACAGAGGGAATGGGGCCCCCACGCACGTTGTAACGCGGCGTCAGCCTCTTGATGTCATTGAGAGCCACATCGATCCCCATCACGCCCAGGATGAGCTGGTTCTGGAAGAAAATGCAGGGAGGGAGGTGGATGGGAGCAGGGCTGTCACCTGCCACCATCAGCCTGGGGACAGGGAAACAGCAGGATGGACCTCTTCTCCCTTTAGGGACATGTGGATCAGATTTGGATACTGCAGGGGCACGGGGTGAGATGTACCAGCCCCCCAGGAGCCCCCCACAGGACCCCGCACCCCCAGGGACTTGCAGCTGTTAGCTGTCCCCATTGAACTGTGAGAGCTAGCCAAGGTAATTTTGGATCCTGGGGATGGCAGTCACCCCTGGTGTCACTGCAGGGCAGTGGTGCAGAGCAGGCAGCCCCCCAGGGGTACCAGTGTGCCCCCCGCAGCCAGGGCACCTTCCCCACCCCACAGTGGCCCCACACCAGGGCTCCCAGTGCAGCCAGGGCAGGGGCAGCAGAGTCTCCTACCTTCCTGTCACTGCTGTCCTCCGTCAGGTTGAACACTGGCAGCGTTCCTGTCACCACCAGGCCCAGCCCCTGCACAAGCACAGAATGATGTGCCATGGCCCCTCACTGGCCCCAGGACCCAGGGCTGGGGGTGGCCAGCAGAGGGGGGTTACTCCCCTAACAAGGGAGATGGGGCATGTCCTGTGCAGGACCCTGGGGCCAGTGTCCCCATCACCTGCACCCTGGAGTTCTGTGGGACTCTGGGGTCAGTGTCCCCAGGTGCACTCTGGGCCTGTGCAAGACCCCGGGGCTGGAGTCCCACCCACATACTCCTTAGGGCTGCAGGGACCCCCCACCTGCACCTGGGGCTGTGTGGGACCCTGGGGTTGGGGGGTCCCTCCCTGCACCCCATAGCTGGGGTGTCCTTACCAGGGCATCCTGGTAGACATTGGTCCACTGAACCTGCTTGGCTCGGTTCCCAGCCAGAACCATGGGTCTGCCCAGCACATCCAGGTACTCCTGAAGGGACACACGACATGGGAAAGGACGATGTGGGAGCCAGATGTCTCTTTGCTCCAGCCTGGTGACATCCTTGTCCCTAAGCACACCCCAGGATTATTAAGGGGCTGAGGGCCCCAGCTGCAGGCTGAGCTGGGGAGGGGGCTTGGCAGGCACCAAACCTGGGGGGACTGGCTCCAGCTGGGACCCCGACAGGCCCACTAAGACGCAAACAGGGTGCTGCTCACCACTGGCCATGCACAGGCAGGGCAGGGGCTCCCCAGGCAGCACCAGCCAGAGCCCCCCAGCCATTCCCGGGGCTGGGACTGCTCCATCATTCCTGGACCATGTCACTACTGTCTCCCTGGCTGCCATCTTCTCCTGGGACAGGTTTCCCTTTTCCTGTCTCATCTTGCCAAGGAAGATCTCTGGGCAGGGAGGCAGTCCCTGTGCCACAATGCCAGCCCTGCCCTGAGGGGAGCTCTGGGACCCTTTATCACCTGCCCTCATGGCATCTCGTGCACAACCCATAAAGAAAAGGGGCAGAAAAGAGGCAGTGAGAGGAGGTGTGGGGCAGAGACCGCCTCTGCGGGGCTTGGCCCTGCCCATGCTCACTCCCTGCCTACTCTCAGCTCTGCTCTATGCTGATTAACACCTGATGTTTCATAATTAGTCACTCAAAAGGCAGCACGTCCGTGGGGAGCTGCAGAAGATGAATTACTTATTTCAATAGCGTAGGGCCTGGCTGAGGGCTCAGCTCGGCTCTCCAGCTTGCTGCCACACTCACTGCCAGCCTGTGGGCTCTCCCCAGTGGGGCTGGGGCTGCCTGAACTCGGCCCTGGGCAGGGCAGCCCGCGAGGGCTCTGCCTGCCCGGCTCCCGGCTGTACCTGCGTGTTGATGCGGATGGCGCCGATGGAGGGGATTTCGAAGTAGTAACCTTGGAAAAGAAAGAGAAAGGCAGCTGGAGATCCAGCTGTCCAGCAGTCTGGCTGTCCTGCTGCCCATCCCTCCAGGGCTGCAGCCAGTGCTTTGCTGGTAGTGGCACTGGAGCCGAGGGGTGAGCCCAGCACCCTGCAGCCCCCCATGCCCGCTGGGTGCCAGCCCCACTCACCTTTGTTGGCGCAGGCCATCCACTGCAGCGGGGTCACGTCGTAGTTGTGCTGCCCCACCGAGAAGGTGAAGACCCGCACCTATGGCAGAGCGTGCACTGAGGGCCATCCACTGGGCACCCTTGTTTTCCACACCCAGTGCTCCCAGCTGATGACAGCCTCCCCAGGGACAGTGTGGCATTGCCTACCATGGCCCACAGAGTGAGTCAAGTGGGCAGAAGACTCCTGCAAGTGCTGGCAGCAAGGGAGCCCCTGTCCCTTTGCCTGGCCCCATCCAGTCCTGCCTCCAGCATCACTGTGTTGGCTCAAGCTACCTACCTCAGTGGTCCTTGGTCTGGGACATCACTGCTCCCAGAGGGGTCTGTGCTCTCTGAGGGTGATACATGGACCAGAACCCTCTCACCCCACGGGTTTCCAGGTACTGGGCAGCTGCTGGGACCTTCCTGCTAGTAGCCCTGTCCCCATGCTTGGGGTGTGCTCCCCTCAGGGCCAGCATTCAGGGAGTGCACCAGCCCCATTCCCTCCCCAGCATCCCACAGTGTGCCTGGTCCCACACCTCCTTCACAGCAAGGTGGGAGCCAGCTACAAACCCATTAGCAGAGCAGTGGCTCCATGCAGGAGCAGGCTGTTGGGGAAGGAGGACGCTGAGGAGGCAAATGGAGCAGAAACCAGCAGTGGAGCTGGAGCAGCCATTTTCCTCCACAGTGAGCAGCCCCAGCCCAGCAGAGACCCACAGCCTCTCACCGTCTTATTGGGCCAGTTGTACTTCTCAAAGACATCTTGCACGCGGTCCTCACCGCCGTCCGTGAACATCATGATCATCTTGTTGCAGTTGGCACGTGTGATGTTGGACTGTGGGGCAGACACAGCACCTGAGGCCACACCTGGAGCCAGCAGCGCTGGGCACGTGGCTGGATGCAGCCAGGAGGGCTGGCCCCACCCCATCTCTTTTCCCAGCCCACTTCTCTGGGACAAGGGTGACCAGGGTGAATGGGCAGGAGGGACACTGACAGCTGGGGAATGAAGTTGTGGCTAATGCCACTCAGCACCTAATAGCGCCATTCATCTTTATTTTGCCTCTGGCATGCTGTCTGGTTGGGTCTGGCCCCTCTACCCAGTCCTGCTAACTTTTAATAACCCAGAGGGGAGCAGCATCAGCAAACCTTGGCTACAGCATGCCTGGAGGTGGGACGTCTCCCCCTCCTTGAGAAGGAGCACAAGGAGCCCTCAGCACAGGGCAGCAGCCACACGCTCGGAGCTGTCCCATCGTCCCCAGCACCCACAGGTGCACCCTGTCCCCAGCCCACGGCCCAGCCCCCAGCTCACATTCTGCAGCTGGTCGAAGGCGTACTCAAAGCCAGCCTTGTAGTCTGTTGTGCCCTTGGCCACCATCCCCTGCACGTCCTCCTTGAACACCTTCTTGTTCCGGATGTTGGCCTGCACCAGGTGCTTGAAGCACGACACCGGCTTTGCTTTTTCATTGAACTGGGAGGTGAAATGGAGGGAGTGGATCAGTGAAAGGGGACAGGGCAGACACCACATCACACTCATCTCTCATGGGCAGCAGGTGACCCAAATGTGTCCCACATCCCAGGGAGGGCTGATGCTGAAACTTGGCTTGGGACAAATCCAGCAGTGACTGCGTGGTGTAGGTGCTGCCACTGGGTGCTGGCAGTGAAGGGTTCACCTGCACTCTCACTTCTGCAGGACCCCAGCTTGTGCAAGCAGCCGTGCTGTGCTGTTCTGTGCCGTCATCAGGAGCAGGTGCTGCCTCTCAATTACGGCTTCATTTACTGGCAATGGGGCCCATTCATTAGGGGAGCAGCGATCCAGCTGACAGAGCCAGGCCAGACACCTTAATTAGTGCTGGCTTGCTGGTGGCCAGACAGGGGAGGGCTGGCAGGGGCAGGGCCCCCAGCACCACACAGATGCCGTGGCATGGCCACCATGCTGTGTGAGGTTACGAGCTGGTGACATAGCCATGGAAAGGGTTCCTGTGCTGGGGGGCTGGGAGGTGCCTGGGGACACAGCCCTTTTGCTTGCCCCGTGGCACTCACCGAGGCCACATTGACATAGTCATCATCTGAGAGGGTGTCCAGCATCTCATAGACCGAGGTCTTCATCAGCTTGAGGGTGAGGCCGCTCACACTGCCACTCCTGCAGGAGACAGGGGTGCTGGGGGCTTGGCAGCGAGGGAGCACAGGGCTCTGCTGTTCCACACAGCTTCCCTGCAGCCACTGGTGGGACAGCGGCACCTTGGCGAGCTGTGTCACCATCCTGGCCTAAGGCCAGCCATGGCCCCCACCGTGTACTCACACGTCCACAATGATGACCATGTCCTTTGGGGAGGAGGCACCTTGGATGTACCTGTGGGGTACAGAGTGGGGTCAGCAGAGTTGACTCATTTCAGGGGGGACCCTGACTGCTGGGTGCAGTCCAAGAGTGAAGCCCTGCCAGAGCACAGGGACTGGGGAGCTGTGCTGGGAGCCCTGGGCACCCAGGGCTGTGCTGACCCCATGGCAAGGAGCAGGGATGAGGTGGCTGTGGGCCGGTGGAGGTGAGGACGTGGCTCCCGTGGCACAGCACAGCAGACGGCCAGCGACTGCCGCTCCGCACCATGTCAGCCTAATGAGCTCTAAATGCTAAACTCTTCCATCATCACAGGCCCTTTCCTGCGTGCTGATTATGCTGACACACACATCCATATTAAGATGCTATTTACCCCCCTGGTAGCTTCAAAGGCCAGGCTGATTAGGTTATTTTTAGCTACGAGGAGGAAAAATAATAACACTACGTAAATCTTCCCCACTGAAAACAATTAGGGAACCCTTCCTCACCCCTTGAAGCAGCCAGTCCTATTCCCAGCCCTGCTGTGTCATCCTGTGTGGGAGGGGGTGGCACAGTGCTTAGCACCCATCCCATTGCAGACACAGCCAGGCACAGCCCCACCTCACCATCCCATTGATTGAGGCCTGATCCTGCCCTGGCTGAAGGCCAAGGGAACCTCATTATTGGCTCGATGAGGATCAGGCCTTGTGTGAATTAATTAGTGTGTTATTAGTATCAATTACTCACCACTACTGGGGAAGGGGCATGCTCTGATTGTCAATCCCAGGGCCTGATGTTCCCTAATTACAAGTGATTACCCGGGTGGGATGCAGGATGCTGGCACACCGGGCCCTCCTGACAAGGGTGCAGCATCCCCCAGCACCTTCCTCTCATGCTGGAGTGCAGGACAGGCAGCTGTCCATCCCTGCCGGCACGAGAGCAGCTCCTGGAGCCTGCCCTGCTCCTGGGGCTGGGCTGCTGGTGCAGCACGGAGCCCAGCTAAGATGCTGCCCATAATGGGTTGTGGCAGCACATCCATCTCTGGCTGCCCGGCTCAGATGAATACCCTGGGCTCGGCAGGAGACAGCTGTGGCTAATGGGGCCATTCATCAGGGGAGGGGAAGGCGGGCGAGTGGTGCCGTGGCTGTGGCCAGGATGGTGGCCCTGCAGCAGCTCAGGCTGTGTCCTGCACGGGGCCCCAGCCTGAGAGCAGAAGGCCCCAGAGGGGGTTCCCCCAGGTGTGCTGTCCCCCAGCATGAAGGGTGCTGCTCTCCTCCATGGCTGGGTGGACAACCAGGTTGCCAGCCCAGCCTGACTAGTGGGCAGAGAGCTGGGCTAGCTGGGCTCAGTAGCCCCCATACACATCAGCAGCCCCTATCCCAAAATAGCCTTCCAGTCCCTGCTCTGCAATAACCTGCACACACACCCCAGCAGGGAACAGTTAATAATTAATGTGGAGCAATCAAAGACAATTAACCATAGTAGCAGGGCCATTAATTTTCTGACAAGGAGAGGGGACAGCTCCTGATGTGGGCAGGGGGATGAACCTTTGGGATACAGGGCTCCCTTAACAGGTGCCAGAGGCCTGTGCCCACTCTCCTCTCCATGACTGCAGTTTTAGGCAGCAAATGTGGGCAGGATGGGGCTGTCACTCCCCCAGCTCCAGCTGATAACCACCACTGCCACAGAAGCACCTCCAGCTGGGCTAAGGGGAGCCCATTCAATCCCACCTCACTTGGTGTGGGCTAAATGGCTGCTCAGCTATCACTGAGCCACAGCCTGGTGCTGCCTGCCTATTCCTCTCCCCATCCTCCCAGCTCATGGTTTCCAAGCTAGTTGTTATCTTGTTTGGATGGAAATGCTGGCCAGACAGAGTGCCAGCAGCCATGGCTATGGTGAGGGGGCATAGGGTTCTCTCCACGCTTTCATCTGCACCCAAGGATTTATCTCTCCATCCTGCTCTGCTTTCCCAGGAAGAGGGAAGAAGAGCCAAGTTCCGCAGCTCAGACGCCCCTGCCTGTGTTACGGTGTCCCTTTGGCAGTGCCACAATGAAATGAAAAGGGGAGAGAGCTGATTGTTCCCAGCCAGGACTCTCCTCCCCACCCAGCACCCCCTTACCAGGGCCGCCGGCGCACGTCATAGAGGTCGATCTTATTGGGGGCTCTCCATGGGGTGGCTGTGGGGAGAAGGCAGGTAGTGAGCAAGGCTGTCCTGGGGTGGGGGACACGGGGGGCAGGGCAGAGAGATGCCCAGGGCTGAGGAAGCAGCAGGCTCAGGTGAGGAGCTCCCAGCAGTGGGTTCTGGCACAGTACAGTTACATTTGTCACACCTGTCCTTGGTCACAGCCCCTCTGTGCCACAACCTGCCACGCACCGGGGTAGTAGCGGGTGACGCCGGTGGCGCTGCCGAAGACCTGCCAGAGCAGGGAGGGATCCTCCTTCCGGTTCTCGATGAACACATCCTCCAGTGCCTGTGTCCAGTTCAGCTCGTTGAGGATGACGGTGGCTGCAGGACACAGACACAGGGGTGGGTGGGTGGAGGGAGCAATGGAGCTGGGGCTGAGGGGTGATGGGGACTGCGGTGTCCCCAAAATGATGGCAGGGAGGGAGAGGTGTGTCCCCTCTGCCCTTTCCCAAGAAGAAGCCCATGGGGGCTTTCCAGCTTTTCCTACATCCCCTTGACCCCCTCACTTCCACAGAGATCCAGCACCACCCTGCTGTCCCTTGTCCCTAGAGAAATGAGCCACTCTTCAGAGCTCCCTAGAGTGCTCATTGTCCCCATCTGCTCTGGGGCAGACACAGCCATCACTGGGGACAGCTGGCCTCCCATCTCCCAAACTCCCTGTGCAAGCCTCACTCCCTGGGGACAGCCACCAGCTGGGAAACCCAAGGCTTGTGTCCCCACAGGCCATGTGGAGCCTCTCAGGCCCACTCTGCATTCCCACTGGCCCTGCACCTGACACAAAAGCAATTAAGATGCCAGCAAATAGCAGTTTTAAATTATTCAGCTATTAAAGCAAAAGATAAGCTGCCGGCAGCCCTGTGATTAATCAAGGAGGGGCTGGCAGAGCGAGGGGGGCTCAGCGTGGTGTGGCAGGTATGGAGCTGGCCAGCTGGCAGAGGGCTGGGACGGCACCTCCCTGTGCTCACAGGGGGATCCCACTGGTGCTGGGCTGCTCCAGGACTGTAGCATGGAGGAGTCAGTGGTAGCTGCCAGTGCAGGAGCAAAGAGCCAGCAGCACCTTGAGACCAGGCACTGATTCCTCCTGGGGGACCCTCAGTCATTTTTGGGGTGCAAGAAGTCTCAGGAGCACCCCATTTCTTTGGCATTGGGAAAAACAACCCAATGTGGTGCTGCAGGGGGGGAAATGTGCATTTGAGGAGTATATTTAGCTCTCCTAAGCCTTCCTCCCACACGTGTCCCTTCTGGAAACACCGTCATCACCTGTTCAAGTCTTCACTGTGGTCCCAAGGCACTGGCAGGATTGTGAGTAGGTTTCACCCAGGATGAATCCTGGATCCCTCTATCCCAGCACGACTGCTGAAGAATTGTCCTTCCCTCTGGCAGCCATGCCTTCAAACCATAATTTACTTTATCCATATCTCCCCAGCCATTCCTCAGCGCTGTGCCCACACACAGTGCTGTTATCTGCACTTAGGATGATTTCTTGCTTGGCTCTGACACAGGATGTGGTTTTCCCCAGGAGAAGTGGCTATGAGCTGGCTGCCAGGCTGCTGCCTGCCTGGAGCAGCTCTGGGCAGTGCTGCCAGCCTCAGCTGGGCACTGGGCTGGACCCTGACACATCCATGATCTCCCTGGCAGCACCCACACACCCAAACCCTCGGGGCCCATCAGCCACACCAGCTGCTTGTACTGAATGCAACTCACGTTGTCCCTGCGCCCAAACACAGCCCTTAAATTATCTCTGAGTGTGAATGCAGCCCCCATGTCATCCCTGTGAACAAATACAGATCCTACACTATCACCATGTGCGGAGTGATGGAGCTGTGTCCATGGTTGGGATGGCTCCTGTTCCTCTCAGTCGAGGCCAGAGCTGCCAGCCCCACTGGTGACATCCCTGTCCCCATCTGGTCCCTGTCCCCATCACAGTAAGCCCAGCCCCGCCCTGCCCGCGAGCGATTGCATATTTAATTAAAAATGTCACAGTAAATAAAACACATATAGGATGTAATTTGTGTGTGTAGCGAGGGGTGACGGCGGCGGGTGTCGCCGCAGGGTTTAATTAGCGTGCCAGGCAGCGATAGAGCCTCTCCGCCGGTCCCAGCGGGACACGCTCCCAGCCCAGCGTGCGGGGACTCGCCACGCTCACTGCTGTCCCCAGTTTTGGGGTGCCCTCACCCCAAAGCACTCTCTGTGGAGCAGCAGCTGTAGACCCTTCCCTGCAGCCCGGATTTCTGGAGCACCCTGGCGTGGCCGGACACGGCCCGATCCCTGTGCCCACACACTCCGTGCCGGTAGCCGCAGCCCCTTTCCCTGGCTGCAAGGGGCATTGACAGCCCCTGCCGTGTCACCCCTGGCTGCCACATCCCCTGTCCAGCATGTGTGTGCGGCTGGGAGCTGCTGCAGCGCGTTAAGTGCAGCTTGCTGTGGGTGCAGGGCTGTGCGAGGCTCCAGCCGTGCCATCCATCGGCTGCCGATGGAGCAGGGCTGAGGAGGAACCGATATTTCACCCTGTGCAGCCCACCCGGCTCGCATGATGCGCTTCATTAGCTGCCTGCCCTGCGCTAGCTGGGTAATGAAACTAATTGCAAATTCCTAATCCACCGCTGTCTCGGCGGGGAAATGACTGCAGCGATGCGGCTCCGAGCACAGCCGTGCCCGGAACCAGCCGTGCGCTCCGCTCGGGCCGGAACGTCAGCTCGGCCCCAGCACCAGCCAGGACACCCAGGAGACCTCAGCAAGTGCCACTGAAACAGAGTGGGGACAGTGGTGCCCTGGGCGGTGTGGAGCCGCTGGGGACAGCTGTGACAGCAGGGGCTGGGGCTGGGCGTAGGATGCCCTCCAGCTGGGAGCGGTCCCAGCTCGCAGCCGAGCAGCCACTAGAGGGAATTGGAGACCGACTGTCACCATGTGCCACCGCAGCAGGGCGAGGTACCGGAGAGATCTTACAGCTCAGGGACCGTCACGCTGCTCGGTGGGACTGAAGCTGGTGTGGCACATCCTGTCCCATCCGCCCCTCCATCCATCCCTGCCCCATCCCCGCCTCTGGAGCAGCCTGTGCCCTCCGGCAGCCTCAGGGCTGACCCCCCCTGCATGTCCAGCAGGGGCTCAATCAGCTATGGGGTGGCATCACGCTGTCCCCTAGTCACCCTTGGCTGCCTTCCTGCGGGACTGCGGCTGCTTTTTCTCCCTTTTCATGACCTCAGCCGCAAGAGGGCTGTAGACAGGCAGCATCCCTGCTCCACCCTCTGCCCCTGCCCGGCCATGTCTCACTTTCCCCGTGCTGCCTCTGTAGTTGCTCCTGCACACAGCTGCTCCATCCCTCTGAACGTCTCCTGTGCCAGCTTTGAGCTTTCTCGACCTTTGCTGGACTCTTTTGTAGGAGGATCAGAGCCATGTGGGCAAAGCTGAGCTTTACCCTGTGCCATAATCACCACCTCTCCTTTTCTCCCCATGCCTTCCCCAATAACTCCTAATCCCAGATCCGCCTCTTTTGCCTGTGCTGAGCTCTTGAGAGTCCCTTGGGAGGAGGACACATTGTCACCTCGATCCTGACACGGTGACTCTGCCTTGTTTCACTACCTGCCCTGTCTGGGAGCCAGCCTGCCCTGGCACAAACACCCAGTTGGGGCACCCAGAGGTGATGGTCCCCGGGGCTGCAGTGCTCCAGGCAGGAGAGAGCAGAGCCAGCCAAGCAGCACAAATTGGGGAGGGTGAGGAGGGGCACTCACAGCCTTTGTAGATGTCCGTGGGGATCTGCACAGCAGCGTATGAATAGTTAACCTTGGTCTTGAAGTTGTCATCATCAGTGAACTCCAGCTTCAAGGAGTTGGACTTCTCCCTCTCGATCTCTTCTCCATCAGGATCGTCCTGGGGAAGGAGCAGAGCACATGGGGTCACCCAGGGCTCCAACCCTGGATGGATGCTGAGAATACCTCCACCTGAAGCCCATCACCAAATGTGTCCTGGGGGAGACCAGCCCTGCTGGATCTCACGTGGATTTGGCCTGCCAGGAGCGGGTGGGCACAAAGGCAAGCACCAGTTACCCCCCGTCTCTCCAGCTTTGGTAGCACAGCAGGTATTAAATCAGACATAGAAAAAAAAAAATCAAAAAAAGGCCTTGAAAATCAATTAGCAGCAAAAGGCAACTATCAAAGAGCAAATTAAAACGGAGTGCAGCTTAGCGCTCTGTCAATAAGCAATGCAAACAATATTTAATTATAGTGGAGAGACGGCGAATTCCCCACTGCTGGTGCTGGAACACACTCCCTCACCTTCCCAGCCCTCCTCTCCATTCCCCAGCCCTGCTGCCAGCATGGCACTGAGGGTAAAATCCCTCTGGAAAGGCAGGCAGGGCTGAGCTGGTGCAGACAGGCTGACAGGGTGGGAGCTGAAGCATGGGGCCATGTAGGGAAGAGCGAGAATAGGGATGGACTCACTACAGAGCTGGAGAAATTACCTCTGCCACCTCACCAGGAGCAAAGAAACCCAGGAGAAGGTGCTGGCTCTGAGCTTCCCATCCCTGCCACTAGCCCAGCTGGGGAAGGCTGTTTGCAGCTGGAAGATGCTCAGAGTAGGAAGGAGGGAGAGGAGGATGCTGCAGCACCTGCTCTTTGTGCTCCTGGAGCTACATCACTGCTGAAGAGGGGCAGGGACAGGCAACAGTGCCAAGCCCAAACTGGAATAGACACCTGAAGGGATCCCCACACTGTCCACAGAAAAGTACCAGGGAACACAAGGGGTAGGGGATGGTCCCATCCTGCTGTCCTCAGTGGTCCACTGCAAGCATCTCTCCAACTGGCCAGGCTCCCCTTGACAAAACCCAGGGAACAAAGACCTGAATTTCTCACAGGAAAAGCCATATATTTAAAGAAAAACTGTGTGTTTAGGAAGTAAACGATGAAGCTTGTGTAATACCCATCCTGGCCCCCTCCCTGTTTTCCCTTTACAGATGACACGGAGAAATGTCACCTCCCCTGCAACACCTCCAGCTGGCCACTAAGGTGGTGACATTCCCATGACATTGAGAGGGGTGGCCAAACCATTCGCCACAGCTCGGGAGAGTAACAGGATTGATATGCGAGGTTTGGGTTTAATTCCAGCTGATGGTCTGTGAGTGTAAACACACTGCCCAGCTGACCCCGCTGCGGGGGCTCCAGCTGCCCAGGAAGATGTTGAACTCAATTACAGCTTCAGTAGCTAAGCAGGAAGCAGGCAGGGACTGTTCCCAACTCCCTGGAGCCACGTCTCCAGGATCAAAATCCGGATTATGCTCTCAATTTAATGTAAATCTGGAGAAAAGGCAAAAAATGAGTGCTGGAGCCCCTGCAAAATTGTGATGCTGCAGCAGAGCCGGCACTCCGGCCGTGTGCCAGGCCATGGGCTACCTGGAGAGTGGATCTGGCCCCAGAGCTGCTGTCCATGGGGGGCTCAGCTCTCTAGGGAAAAGCACACATGGTATTCATCTCTGCAAACCTCTTTGAGCACCAGACAGCAATACAGAGGTGCCTGCTGAAAACAGGCTTTGGGATAAAGTCGTGGCCTGAGGGCATCTGCAGCACCAAAAACTGTGCTTTGACACTAAACCCTTTCTTTCCTCAGCCCAGCAAATTCCTGGTGACAGCTCCCCATCCCTCCCCATCTCGGATCAGCAGGGCACCCTGCCACAACCCGTCTGCTGCCCCTGTCACCACCAGCAGCTGGAAAATCCAACCCTCCCTCCTTCCCCCATGCTGGCATGGCTATTCCCCACTTCATCGGAGCTGGAACTACTGTATATAATTACTGCTCCTCTGTTTATCATTTTTCCGTGATCTCACCCACTTCTGAGGGGCTAATTTGTATGCTGCCAGGTTCGGCGCTGTCTGGCTGCTCTCATTCATGGAGCTGTGAAGAGGCACGTGTATAGATCTCAGGGACAAATATACAGCAATCTATACGTGGGGCACTTCATGCATCACTGACACCTATATGGCAAACAGACCTGCAGAAAAGAGCTGATGTTATCCAAGCTATGTGTGCCCTTCAGCCATAAATCCCCCAACCTCAACTGACTTATTGCTGTTTAAGCCAAGCTGGATTTGGCCCCTGAAAGGGGGTGATTTCCAGCCACATGAAGGCAGGTGGAGCTGTCACCAGCCCAAGCAGGAAGGGGAGCATTTGGAATACAAAGAGACACCTTGGGAAGGCCGAGGGAAGAAATTCTGCATTAAGTTGAAATTAGAACAAAGCAGATGATTCAAGTTCTCCTGAATTTACATTGGTTTAACTGTGAGCATCTCGTCAGGCCCCCAGCCAGATCTTGCAGCATTCCTCATCATTACATATCAAAAGAACTTGGAAACATCTATTTATCTGTTACAGTATGTACAACGTAACACAAATAGATGCTACAGTTTGAATATATTATTTGCTACACACCATTAGGAATCGACTCCACCACAATATATCAATATGATACGTATTTACTGCTTCAGCAAGAAGTCATCACACCCTGAGAGCTTTTGCCATCTCCACTGCTTTCACAGCTGGGCTGTCAGTCACATTTTCTCTTCAGTCTTCCAAAATGACAGACAGGGGACAAAACCCAGAGGTGCTCCAACACCCAGTGAGCACCAGCAGCATTACCCAACAGCTCTACTGGAGGCTGCCACGCTCTGGGAAAGCGCCTGCCCTCCGTCCCAGCCAGCCTGCCCCTGGGCACCAGGACTGTCGTGGTCCCCAGGGTTTGGAGCTGCGGATGGAGCCGGGGATGTGACCTGGCAGCAGCGATGCCTGGTCCCCGGCAGCTCCTGCAGATGCAAACCCCCCTGTTCATTGCTCATCTCCATGGGAACCAGCCATCACAGCTAATGATGGCTGCTTAAATGGCAGCCCCGATGACAAACGCAGGGCTGATCCGGCCACAGCATCCCCCGGCCTGCCCCACACACGCCTGATGGAGAATACACCGAGATCCCAGCACAGCCTTTTCAATCTCCCAGGGGCACCCATCCATGCTAAACTGGAAAGGCCAGAGAAAAATTCCTATCAACACGCTGTGATTCTGCTAATAATGGATACAAATGCCAGCCCCCAACACATGGCTGAGAAACTCCAGGCCTGTGCAGAAGGGTCTTTATCCTTAAGTATATCAGTTTTTCCTGAAATGCGGTAATTTAATGCCAAGGAGGGACATGGTGTGTTCTCCAGCCACATTCCTGCTTTTACAGCAGCCCAGGTTATAAATAACAATCAGCCTCTCCCGCCAGCCTGCTCCCCTATCCCCCTTCGCTTTTTTTAATCTTTGCCAAAGGTACTGTTTAGAGATCTTTCTAGACCATTTATTTTTAAATTACCAGCCAGAGGAGAGAAGTTAAAAAAATAGGAAAAAAAAAAAAAAGAAAAAAGGCAAAAGAAAGAAACTTCTGGGGCTGATAGCTTATCGTGAGGAAATCCAAATGTCACATTAGTTGAGAAAGTTGGAAGATTAAATTTTCCAACACCCTTCATCTGCTGCTGCTGACATTTAGGGGCTTTTTTTCCCCCCTCCTTCCCCTCCTTGCTGTGTCTGAGCAGGGTGAGCAGTGAGAGGGGTGAGCAGTGAGTGGGCAGCCCCATCTCCCCTGCACCAGAGGGGGCTGAGGCTGACACAGAGCCTGACACCATCAGTCCCTTGCTGTCAGCCCTCCCCAGCCCTCCTCAGGTGGGGGGTGCTGGAGGGCTGACCTTGGGGCCAGGATACCTTCACACAGCTCTGCTGTTTTCCACCTGAGTACAGTACATCCCAGGCTCAGCTTTGACAAGCATCATCCCCTGCCGCAAACACAACACAAAAGATGGAAAATTACTTTATTTCTGTGTTGTTCTGCCTATGACACCCAACCCAGAGCGACAGCTGATTTCAACACTTCTCCCCACATAAACCCCATTGCCCTTGCTAGTGGGAAAAGCTGAAAACTTCACTTCTGCAAACATTCTGACAGCCTTGGGGACCCCTGGGAAAACTTTCTGATGTTCCCATTTGTTAAAAATCACTTGGAAATCCCAAGTCTGTTTGGGGGGATAGTGGAGCTGAGGTGCAAGCAAAATGAACAGGTAGCTCATTTCCTTCTCTCTGCAGCTAAAGCTGGTGTAAGGCTCATGAATAAGCCCCAGCCATTGTCCATCAGCACCAACTCTGGCTCAGCTACATCCTCCTGTATTTAAATAGAAAAATTGAAGCTAAATAAAGAAAGGAAGGAAAGAGCACTATTGCGTTCCATTCAGGCCTTCTGGTATCATCTCCCTCTGTTTTTATTGCAGCAACATCTTTTTTTCCCCAATTATTTTTGTTAGAACTGAATTTACTGGGATTTCACTGGTAAGGAAGCAACAGCAGAGGTAGGGAAGTGCCCTCCCTGCCAAACCCACATACATCAACAATAGGACACCCCCAATTTTGCAATTTTGCTTGGGATCTCCCCAGAGCAGGACTAAAGCTGATGTGGCTGTTCCTTCTCAACATGTCAGCTCCTAGAGTCCCCAGGGACACTGTGCCATGTCACCAGGCACAGCCTCTCCCCAGTGCCCCCTTTGCTGGGAGGGCTCCATGGGCACAGCTCCGAGGCAGAGATGCCTCCTGTTTCCTAATCCTGCCTAATGTGACCAGGATGGTGGGGTGTGACATCTGGGGGAACCACGGGCATGGGGACATCCAGCTTCTGTCCCCTGCCCTTCAGCAGTGACAGCAAAAGCCCAGCCCAGCCTGATGGATGCATTAGTCTTGCTCCTCATCCTCTGTGCTGGGAGTTGCTCTGTTCCCCAGGCTGTCTCCTCCTGCCTCAACCCCCAGCCAGTTTTTCCTTCACTTCTATCCAAAATCCCCTTTAATGTATTTTAAGCCCATTAGCTCCATCCTCTCCAGAGCAGCCATGGCAGGATCCTCTCCTCCCTCCTTTGGTAGCTCCCCCCCAGGCTGGGGAAGGACAGGAGACATCCTCTGCATCCTCAGCTGTAAATGAGTGGGACTGTGGGCAGGGAGAGCTGCTCAGGAGAACAAGTGCCCTCCACTTCAGTCACAGCATCTGCCTGAGTCTCCATCCCACCTCCCAGACTCACAGTGGCTCCTTCCCCTGCCAAGGAGCCCTCTTGCTGTCACTGCCTGGGGACAGTGGCGCTGGCAGTCAGTCAGTAAATCTGCTTTGAAGGCATCCATCCTCCACTCCAGCCTGTCCCTGGCTCTGCTCTGGGGCACAGACTCCCAGGTGGGTCGAGAGGAGAGACAGAGGTCAGTGCAGAGAGACAATGCAGGGCATGTCACCCACAATGGTGGGACCCCATCAAGCCCAGATCCCCCCTCCCTTTTGCACAGGGCCATCTGAATGCTCTCGGGGTCACCTGAGTGTTATTTTTGGATGAGGCCACGTGGTTTGCAAGTGGTTTGCTGCCAACATCATGTTCTCTCCTGCTGCGTTACTGTCTCTCCATGGCACATCTGCTGCCAGGTCTGGCTGGGGACAAGGAGCGGTCCTGGTGCGCCAGCATTGGCTGGGGCTGTCCCCAAGGCTGCACTTGGGGCTCCTGGTCAGCTTCAAGGACTCTGCTCAGCAGCCTTACACCAAGAGCATCACTGACCTGACAAGCCCCTATTTTGTAAGGATCCTTCAGCACAGGGTGGGAGCTGGGTGCCCCAGGACAGAGCTGGGCGCCCCAGGACAGAGCTGGGCGCCCCAGGACAGAGCAAGCATTGCTGGTGGAGCTCCCTGCACCCGTGGCATGGCACCTGAGTGAAGTCATCCTCACTGTCACCACGGGGAGGGAGGAGCTGGCAAATGCCGGCTCTCTTGGGAGCACCAGGAGATCGAGCTGACGGGCCTGTAGTTAAAGCACTGATTGCCAGAAATCACAGGATGGCTATGCTCGGAGTAGGGCAGAGAATTAGATTCAGTCTCTAATTAAAGGTTTGATCTTCATTTGAATTTCAGATGCCAGCTTTAATTTTAGAAACTTTTGCAGGCAGCAGAGCGACCTGCCCACCCGCCTGCTGCCAGGCCCGGTGCTCGTGGACAGATGTCACCATGGCTCAGCTGGGGGGACACGGCTGCACACCTGGCGCTCACTGCCCGCTGGTTACACAGATTCTGCAGTGACAAATGCCGTGCCACGACCCCTGGTACAGTGCTGGGACAGACTGGTGAGGGGCTCAGCCCTAGGCCAGGGTGGTGGCCGTGCCAGAGATGCCACAGAGACAGTACTTACATATTCAGTGTCGGCCTTGGAGTCATAGTACTCGATGTCTTCCTCCTGCAGAGAAAGGGAAGAGCTGTTAGTGCCAGACAAGGACAGGGATGGGAAAGGAGTCTCTCTGTGACTTGTCCCCTCAGCACCTCTCTCATGCTATTGGCAGCCACCTCATTGCTGGGGACTGAAATCTTCCTAGCCCATGCTGTCTCTGAGACATGTTCAGCACCTCACATCCTCCACATCCACCATTCAAGGACCGGCCATTGCCTGCCATGCTTCCCTCCACCCATGGCTGGGCTGAGCCACAGCACTGGGGGGCCAACAGCCCTGTGACAGTGACACCGGTGTGACCACAGCCAGGTGCGAGCCTGTGCCACTTGTGTCCCCACAGCCAGGATGCTTGGGTGTTGCAAACATCAGGAACCACAGAAATGTCAGGTATAGGCAGCGTGGCCCCCTCCCTGCACTGCAGAAACAGGGAGAAAAGTGTCCTTGCTTCCACAGAGAAATGCACGTCGTTAATTTGGGGTATTTAGAGCCTATTTAAGCAGAAAGGTCTGCTTGGATTCCTCTTCCCAGAGTGTCAAGACGCGAGACAGCTGATAAAATTCCTGAAGAGGCAATTGGGAGAGCAGCGATGCTGTCACAACAGCGTTCCGTGTACCAGTAGAAAGGGTAATTAAAGGGCACTCGGAGACTCTTCGCAGCGTGCCGGGACCGAGCGCGATGCGGGCACTCCGGCAGCACAGTCGTGGTGCTCACACGTCTGCCAGTCAATCCCCAGCAGCAGCCAGCCTTCCTCCCCATCAGCAGCCAGCCTTCCTCCCCATCAGCAGCCAGCCTTCCTCCCCATCAGCAGCCAGCCTTCCTCCCCATCAGCAGCCAGCCTTCCCCGGCACGGGCAGCGCCTTGGGGCGATTATTGCTGTTATCATCTAACGAGGAAAGCGAGCTGGACCCCGAGCAGAAACACAGCCAAAACCCTGTCCTGTCTCCTCCTGCTCTGCTCCTGCCTGTGCCGCAGCCAGCCTGGGCACAGCCCTGTGCCGGGCACGGTGGCACCGTGACATCTGTCCCAGCCTGGCCACGGGCTCGTGCTGGAGAAAGGGACCAGCAGGGGCGAGCAGCTCGGCAGGCAGGCGGCATCACACATTCCATCATCCTGGCACTAACCCCGCAGCACGATTACCCTCTTAGCCACAGAACTGCCCCCAGAGCGGTTTGTAGTGGCTTCTCCCGGCTTCCCGAGAGCTGGGAAAGCCTCTGAAGCTGATCTTGGGGACATCAAGAGCAGGGAACCCTGGCAGGCTGGGCAGCCGATGTCTCCTCAGGATGGAGATTGCAAAGGGCAATTCCAGCATCTTCTTGAGCAGAAAGAAGGGCTCTGCGACTCTTTAATGATTGCGATAAGACAGCACCGGGAGGGGAAAGTGAAAAAAAAATAATTGACGCAGCATCTTCCAATTTCTGCTATTAAAAAGCCCAGTCATTACGGGAACACACTTATTAATTATCTGTGATTTGTAGTGAAATGCTGTGGGGTTTACAACAACAAGAAAGGGGGGAAAAAAAAATAATTAATTTTTCTTCAGCTGCCCTTCCCGAGCCGCTCTCGGCCCCTCGCACGGCCCTGCCCCTCCCCGGCACCGCCGTCCCCGGGTCCGCGGCCATCTGCACTTCCTAATTAATGGAACCCCCGGGAGACCCGTAACACAAACGAGCTAATTTCATGTTTAATGATCTTTAATCAGGAGTGAGTGTGACTAACAACGGCCATCCAGAAGGTGCTTTGTTATTCATTTTATTCGCCACTGGCTCCTCCGAAAAGCTCGATTCCCCTCCCAGCCGCAGAGGGCAGGAGGTGATGATGCTCGGGCAGGAGAGCCGCTCCCCCGATCCTGCTTTCACTCGCTCCAGCGCTCCCACGGCACAGGGAGCAGGGCCCCTGGAAGGATGTCCCTCCCACCGATTCCCCCGGGATCACAGAGCCCTTGCCATGCGCTCTTCCAAGCCCTGACAGCCCCAGGAGCAGCAGGGTGAGATCTCAGGCCCACTCAGGCTGTAGCTGAGGTTTCCACGCGTGGGACAGCCAGCACCAGCGTGGCCCTGGCCCTGGGATGTGCCCTGATGCCAGGCTCCAACCCTGCTGATGCTGGGGGGCTGGGGTTTTTCACGGGGTCCAGGGGAACTGGGGGAGCTGGCAGGGCACCTGTGTCCTTGCCACTTGGAAGCCTGTGTCTATTCCAGGAAGGAGGGATAGAGCTTTCAGAGATGCTCTAAAAAGATGCCACTGGTGTTCCAAGAGGCAACAAGGGGTCCTACAATTTCTGCTCCCTGATTTATTTTTTCTTTTTAACCACATTTGCCTTCTTCACACAATCCTCTCCTCCTCTTCCTCTGGTCCATCTTAACCTCAGCACCAGGTCTGTGTAAATAGCACTGGTATTTCTAGAGCCTTTCAGAATAAATACCAATAAAGAAAACAAGGGGGTGAAGATGTCAAGGGATTTTGAGGCAAAATATTGTCCCTGTCTGTTGCAACCGAGCCTGCAGGAAGCACACACTGGTTCCTGCTGCAGGGGAGGCTGACAAGGAGGAGCTGCTGCTCCATGATGCGTTATCCACTGCCCATTTCCTTGTACCTAAACTGCAAAGTGCCACCTGTACAGTGGCACTGCACGGCTGTGTCACTGGTGGGTAAGTGTGGGGTTAATTCAGCTCCTAAGCCCTCAGTGCAAGCACTCTGGGAGTTCAGTGCAATCCCAAACTGATCTGTGACTGTCCCCAAGGCCATTGCCAAGGCTTCTCCAGCAAAGCCACCAAGGAACCACTGCAGCTGCATCAACCTCTTGTGGTTCAGTGTCAATGGGCAGCCCCTGGCCAAGGCTTGACCTCCTGGAGGGGGCCTTGGGGATGCTTTGTGCCAGAGTCTCCCCAGGGACTCTGGCTCCTTCCTCACCCCCTTGAGCCCTCCCTAGGAGCCCTGTGCACCACACCTTCACTGTTTTCACACCAAAACACCAAGCAAAAAAGCTGATTTAAAATCCAGGCTGTGAGAACCAGGAGAGCTACAGGCTGGAGCCTTACCAGTGGCACAAGGGAGGGCCCTGCTCTGGCACCGGTGCTCCCTTGCCACACACCAGCAGTACAGGTATGAGACAAAGCCCAGGACAAGGAGGGGCACACAGGTGTCTCAGGTGGGTAGTGAGGGGCACTCCCCCTCACAAGCCCTGACACAGCCCTTTATAAGCACTCAAAGAGATCTTTTTTTTTTTGCCTAAAACAATTACAGCAGCTAAAAATAATGCTGAAAAGGTCAGTGCTCTGTTATCTCACTGCAGCCTGGAGATGTCTGGATGGAAGGGTGCTGGCCCAAACCTCCAAGTCAGCAACCTAATGAGGTGGCAATCAAACCATATCACACAGCTGGCATCACCCTAAAAAAGCCTCGAAGGAGCTGTTGGTGGCACATCAGCTCCCTGCTCCAGCCATCCAGCTGGAGCACACAGCTGGCAGGGACACTGCAGGAGGGCTATGGCTCACTCTCCCCTACAGAGCTTTCCTGTAAAATCATCTAATCTGGCTAATCCTTCTCCCGAGGACCTGTAGTACTCCACAGGATTGCTCACTGTCGTCTTGTAAGGGTCACCCTGCTAATCACATGCCTTGGGGGTGCTGCAGCTCCCCGGGGCAGTTTTGCAGGCAGATCCTGCTGCAGCACATTGATTTCCGTCCCTCTCAGCCTCCGGCTGTGGGTTTCATTTCTCTGAGCAGCACAGGTGACCCCTGTGGTCAGCAAATCTCTTTCAAGATTTAATTGGCTCTGGAAGAGCCAAATCCTGCAGCAGTTTGCCTTCAGGCAGTTAAGAGGAGCTCGGAGGGTGGTGGGAAAGAAAAGATGGATCCTGAGCTGGCACCTGCCTGTTTTCCAGCCACTGGATGGAGCTGGTGGCAGGACCAGCATCCCAGCCCGCAGTTTACCAATGTGAGGACAAACCAGGTGACCAGAGCTGTGCCTGGTCAGACCCGTGGGCAATTCAGTGGGTGGGGAGAGCAAGCAGGAGCTGGTGTGCCCATACTGCACTGGAGGCTCTGCTCATGAGCCCACCTTTCCTCTGCCATCAGCATTTAGAGAGGACAGTGAGTATTTAGGTACTTCTTCACGTTCCTGAACTGTTAAACACACAGAAATAGCAACAGCTTTTGCTTATAGTTGCACCTTTTGTACAGAAGACATCGTGCAGCATGTCACAGAGCTCCTGCAGCCTCACACCTGCGCTGTGGCTGGAGGAGCAGAGGATGAGCACAGCACGTCCCCACCACAGCATCACCCTGCCAAGCCCTCCTGGGTCACGAGGAGTGGGATGGGGCTGCCTGATGGCTGTCCTTGGGGATTGGTTTGTGCTGGTCAATCGGTCCTGGCTGCCAGCTGGGGCTGGAGGGCTCAGCCAGGTGAGTGCTCAGCCTGAGGTGTCTGAGCCCTGCCATGGGCACAGCAGCCTCTTGGCTGGGGAACAACAAAGCAAAGAAAGTGTTCCTGTTACACCTGCCACGGGCTGGTGTGAGGGCCACAGCCAGGAACAGGTTCCAAAGGGACTAGATGAATCCCTGGGAGAAATTCCTACCTGCAATCCCAGCCACGTCTGGCTGTGGCTGGCAGGGACTGAACATTTATTTCCACTGGCTAGAGCTATGCTTGTCTATATGCACCATGATGAATCCTCTCCTAGTCCACAGAAGAGGACAATATTCACGGTTAGCCCAGCCACCACAAGCTGTTGGACAGACCAAGAAGAGGCCTGGTGGAAACCATATTTCTCCTGCAGCATTGTGGATTCCCTGCATCCCATCCACCATCAGGGGCTGTATGCATTCCCCAGGACAGGTGGAAACAGTCATCATAATCTGCCTTGGCATCTTTTTTTTAAAAGCAATTTCCTCCCTCTGCCTCTCTGACAGAGCTGGGGAAATATTTAAGTGACCTGTCAACAGTTTTTTCATCTCCCTGAGAAGATGTTTTATCTGATCACACCTCACCAGCTATTCTTCTTTACATGGCAT